AGTTAAACAGTCTTGGGCCCCTGACACTTATTGCTTTGTCTTTTATCGTGCTAGTGACACCCCTGCTTTTCATTGGGAGGATGTTGCACCGTCTGCCGAGTCTTTTGCTTTCGTAGTGAGTGATTTTCGTGTGCAAGTTTGGTACTAGTCCCTCTAGGATTTTCCAGGTGTATATAATCATGTATCTCTCCCTCCTGCGTTCCAGGGAGTACAGGTTTAGGAACTTCAAGCATTCCCAGTAATTGAGGTGGTTTATCGCAGTTATGAGTGCCATGAAGGTTCTCTGTACATTTTCTAGGTCAGCAGTTTCACCTGCCTTGAAAGGTGCTGTTAGTGTGCAGCAATATTCCAGCCTAGATAGAACAAGCAACCTGAAGAGTGTCATCATGGGCTTGGCATCCCTAGTTTTGAAGGTTCTCATTATCCATCCTGTCATTTTTCTAGCAGATGCGATTGATACAATGTTATGGTCCTTGAAGGTGAGATCCTCCGACATGATCACTCCCAGGTCTTTGACGTTAGTTTTTCACTCTATTGTGTGGTTAGAATTTGTTTTATACTCCGATGAAGTTCTAATTTCCTCGACAATCCAAACGATTTTTTCATGAATGAGCCTCAAAATTCCATCAATGTATGCCAGATTTCCGATATTACCCTAACTCTGATAGACTTCGAAAAAGCCGTTGATAACATGCCCGTGCACTCAGCCCCATGCCCAGGCTCGTGGAACTCTGTGTTCATTAACTGCAAGAAACCCTTTCGCGTGCCCCAAGTATACTATAGAGAAGGAGCTTAGACATGGGTGAAATTCAACAGTCACTTAAAACAACGGATATAGCCCCACTCCATAAAGGTGGCAGAAAAGCATTAACAGAGCTTTTGACCATAGCCGCCTCAGACTTTACTCTGTTGACTACCACTCTTTGTTCTATTTGTCAGGAAATTATAGACCCATCTATCAACTTTTCCTGTTATTCCTTTGGCACGCATTTTGTGCGCTATTACACCATGGTCACTCTTGTCGAAGGCTTTTGCAAAGTCTGTGTATATTACATCTGCATTCTTTTTGTCTTCCAGTGCATCCAGGACCTTGTCGTAGTGATCCAGTAGTTGGGACAGACAGGAGCGACCTGCTCTAAACCCATGCTGCCCTGGGTTGTGTAACTGATGGGTATCTAGATGGGTGGCGATCTTGCTTCTTAGGACCCTTTCAAAGATTTTTATGATATGTGATGTTAGCGCTATCGGTCTGTAGTTCTTTGCTATTGCTTTACTGCCCCCTTTGTGGAGTGGGGCTATGTCTGTTGTTTTTAGTAACTGTGGGACGACCCCAGTGTCCATGATTCCTCTCCACAGGATGTTAAACGCACGTGATAGGGGCTTCTTGCAGCTCTTGATGAACACGGAGTTCATGAGTCCGGCCCTGGGGCAGAGTGCATGGGCATGTCATTTATTGCCTGTTCGAAGTTATTTGGCGTCAGGATAGCGTCAGCTGGGCTTGTGTTTACCAAATTCTGTGGCTCTCTCATAAAAAAATCAGTTAGATCTTCGACTCTCAGTCTGGTTAGTGGCTTGCTAAAAACTGAGTCATATTGCGACTTGAGTAGCTCACTCAATTCTTTGCTGTCATCTGTGTAGGACCCATCTTGTTTAAGTAGGGGCCCAATAGTGGATGTTGTTCTCGACTTTGATTTGGCATAAGAAAATAAATACTTTGGGTTTCTTTCGATTTAATTTATGGCTTTTAGTTCTTCCCGCGATTCCTGACTCCTATAAGATTACTTAAGCCTTAGTTCGATGTTAGCCATTTCTCTGACCAGTGTCTCCCTACTCATTACAGATATATTGGCCTCTTTTAGCCGCTCTGTTATTCTTTTCCTTCGCCTGTAAAGGGAGCGCCTGTCTCTTTCTATTTTACATCTACTCCTCCTTTTTCTTAAAGGAATATGCCTTGAGCATACATCAAGTGCCACAGAGTTAATCTGTTTTAGGCATAAGTCGGGGTCTTTGGTGCTTAGTCTGTCTTCCCAGCTTATATCATTTAGGACTTGGTTTACTTGCTCCCACTTTATGCTCTTGTTATTGAAGTTGAATTTGGTGAAGGCTCCCTCGGGACTGATCACATTTTGTCTGTCTGGGGCTCCGCGCATACATGTCTGAACCTCGATTATGTTGTGATCTGAGTATATTGTTTTTGATATGGTGACATTTCGTATCAGATCATCATTGTTAGTGAAGATGAGGTCCAGTGTATTCTCCAGTCTAGCAGACTCTATTATTTGCTGGTTTAAGGTGAATTTTGCGCAGAGATTCAAAAGCTCATGTGTGTGTGTTCTCAACTGAGCTGCCTCCTGGTGTATGTAGTCCAACGTACAAACCACAGCCCGGCTGATCTGGAACCGACTTTAAGTATCTGTCCAGTTCCCTCTTGAAGGCAGCCAGGAGCCTATTGATAATTCCCCTTATGCCTAATGGGAAGCTGTTGAACAGTCGTGGGCGCCGGACACTTACGGTGTTTTCTCTTAGTGTACCGATGGCGCCCCTACTTTTCATTGGGGGTATTTTGCATCGCCTGCCAAGTCTTTTACTTTCGTAGGGAGTGGTTTCTGTGTCCTGATTTGGGATCATCCCTTCTAGGATTTTCCAAGTGTAGATTATGATATATCTCTCTCGCCTGCGTTCCAACGAGTACAAGTCAAGTGCTTCCAAGCGTTCCCAGTAGTTGAGGTGTTTGATAGAACTCATATGTGCAGTAAAGGTTCTTTGTACACTCTCTAGATCTGCAATTTCACCTGCTTTGAGCGGAGATGCTAATGTGCAGCAATATTCCAGCCTAGAGAGAACAAGTGTTTTGAAAAGGACCATCACTTGCTTGGCATCTCTTGTTTTGAATGTTCTCATTGTCCATCCTATCATTTTCTTTGCAGTTGTGATCGTGGCACTGTTGTGATCCTTGAAAGTGAGAGTATCAAAGATTCCCAATGGAAATGAGCAAGACTGAGTGTCTTTCTTGGCTAATCCTGGATTTCTTCTCGCTGAAGAGGACCTCAGTTGTAGGCCTTGAGCACTCTATTGTTTCATTTTCTTGTAGGTTGGCTTGTACCAGTGACCAGTCGATAGAGTATTCAGTTCAAATAATAACTGTCTGTGAATCGATCCCCGGCATGGGTGGAAACCTTGAGGATGTTTCCTTACACCTGCTGCCCCTGTTCACCTAGCAGCAATTAGGTACCTGGGCGTTAGTAGACTGTCGTGGGTCGCATCCTGGAGGACAGTATTAGAGGACCCTAATGGAAATCACAGTCCTCCATGACATCATTACAGTTGTGACCGGATGTGGAAGTGTGAATTGCTCATTACTCTATAATTTGTTCATGATTGTAGCCAAAGTATAAACGTAAGTAACCATTCTACAGAATTCATTACCTTTGTAACTTGTGAGCTCATTACCTTTGTACCTAGTTCAGCTATCAAAACTTTGGGGGCCCAGTGCCTGGACCCATTACGTACCTCTGTAATCTGTAAATACCTTTGTAACTTGTCATGATTGTGACCAGACTTACCTGGAGTTCATTACCTTTGTAAATTGTGAGTTCATTACCTTTGTAAATTGTGAGTTCATTACCTTTGTAAATTGTGAGTTCATTACCTCTGTAACTTGCTCAGCTATCAAAACTTTGGAGTCCAGTCCCTGGACCAATTATGTACCTCTGTAATCTTTTGACTACCGCCCACAGGATGGGTATGGGGTGCATAATAAACATATTAAACTAACTAAACCATGACATACTGACCTTATTAGGTTATTCATGGTGACTAGGTTAAAAATTCGAACAATATCTTATCTTATCTTATGCTTATTTAGAAATGTAATATTAAAGCACTCCTTGTTCTTTTTCCATTCCGAATAAAGTCCCTAGCCTTGTTTGCTCCTCTTAGTATATTATGTCGTAATCATATATCTCTTCTTATATTGTGTGTTTAGAGAAATAAAACTGATATTTCTTTGAATGTCCATATTTTTTTTGTATTCAGTGTTGTCCATTACTACCATCTCTTCACTCCATTCTCTTTATGCAGTAGTCCCTGGGGAAATTTACATTTGTAACCATATCGTATAACTTGGTTTCCGTAATTGTGATGAGGTCTAGGATTTCTTTAACTATATCATTTAGCCTGTTTTGACTGCGATCTTATCTATGTATTTTTAATGTACGTTCCTGTGGCCAGAGCATGTTTGATTTTTGTGTACGACTGTAGGCACACAATTTCTGTAGTGGCCAGTATTGTCTACGTTATGTAATGTTCTATAGGTGTTGAAGGAGTTGCAGTACTTGCCCTGAAAGCCATAATTGTCCATATGAAACAGTTTTAGTAACATCCTGTAGAAAGACGATAGCTGAGAGCTTGGACCGGATGAGTAGGACGTGACTGACAGCAGCGGACTGCTACCAAATATACATATATAAATGAACTTACTGGCTACCTTTTTACTTGTGTGAGTGTCAGGAGGACATTACGGAACCGGTGTATGAGTTACTGCAGTAAAATATCAGATATGGATGGAGTTTTGAGATGAGGGGAGAGAGAGAGGATGCTGTTGTGCCTTGACAACGCTGGCTCTCCATGACGTCATGCTGCGGTGTGTTTAAATGGCATCTCTCACAGTCGTTCTATTCATCTTATGGACCAAATTGTTTTCATTCCAGTGTCTAGTGTTCCAAGTACACTTATCGTGCTTATAATTCTGGGATATATTAAGGCTAGTGTGTGCTCTACCCGAACAATAAAGAGCTATAACGTCAATACCGTTCCAATAATATTAATTTTATTTGATATGCACGTACTAATAAAGAAAAGAGCGCTCATTAATTCATCTATATTCTATACTATAGACAACGGATATACGACTCACAGAGAATAAATATATGAGATTTTCATGTCAAGAATAGGGAGGGTAGAGGAGGTTTTAGAAGCCTGCGTGTTGCTAGTGAGGAAGCAGCTGGCGTTTAGTTGTTATCTGGACGGCATCAGAGAAACACTCACAATGACGGAAGATCGGCCAGCAGAGGGAGAAATTGTCAGGTGTCAGTTGTTTGAGGTGGGCCCACGCTACTTCAACCTCTCCTACATAGGAGAAGGAGCCTATGGCATGGTAGTGTAAGTATCCTGCACGCCCGGGCACAGGCAGCCCAGCTAAGGAAAGATGGACTTGTTGTGCTCCTGGATTATTGATCAGTGTTGGCCCGTATTAGTAGACGGTAAAGAGAGAGAGAGAGGGAGAAAGGAGGAGGGTGGAGGGGAGAGAGGGAAGGGTGGATAAGGAGATAAGTGATGTTGAGAAGCAGGGACGTAGAGGTAGACCTCACCTGGAAGCTTGAAGGAAGGTGTGTAAATAAGAGCAGTACCTGGCCTCTCCAAGGCTGTTTGTAGCCCACCTCGATAACAAGTCTCCCTCCCTCCGCCCACCCAGCTATCTTACCCACTTCACAGGCTGTCCTGCCCACCTCACTGCTAGCCTGCCTACCTCACCACTTGTCCTGACCACCTCATCACTTTTCCTGACAGCCTCAGCACTTTTCCTGACAGCCTCAGCACTTTTCCTGACAGCCTCAGCACTTTTCCTGCCTACCGCAGCACTTATCTTGCCCATCTCTTAATGTATCCTTCCTGCCTTATTGCTATCCTATTCTGACCATGTCAGTGCTATTCTGCCTATCACCTTACTGCTATCTGCCCACCTCAGTGTTATCCTGCCTTTCACCTTACTGGTATCCTGCCCACCTCTGCTATCCTGACTGACCTCAGTTATCTTGTCCACCTCAAGGCTGTCCTGTTCACACCACATGGCTGTTTTTATTCACCACATGGCTGTCATTTCTGCCTCATAGATATCATGCCCTTCTCAAGGCTAACTTGCCCACCAAAAGGCTATCTTGCCCACTTCAATGCTGTCTTGCACACCACAAGGCTGTCTTGCCCACCACAGGGCTATCTTGCCCACCACAAGGCTGTCTTGCCCACTTCAAGGCTGTCTTGCCCACCACAAGGCTGTCTTGCCCACCACAAGGCTGTCTTGCCCACCACAAGGCTGTCTTGCCCACCACAAGGCTGTCTTGCCCACCACAAGGCTGTCTTGCCCACCTTACAGATATCTTGTGCATCTCAAAGCTAACTTGCTTGTGCCTCATAGCTTTCTAGCCCATCTTAAGGATATCCTACTTACCTCAGTTATTGTGCATATTATCACTGTCTTGCCCTTCAGAAGGAGGAGTGTCATGAATCTTTATGTAAATGACATGCTCATTAGTGTTAAGTACAAACTCCCATTGTATGCAAATGACAATGCTGTGTTGATTTAAATGTTAGGAAAATTCCCACAGGGTAGAGCTAATGTACTATCACTGGAACTAGGGTCTTGCAGTGTAAGGTTAAGAGATAAACTGTTGCTATACTTAGGAAAAATGGCAACCAGATTATTTGGCTCAAAAGGTGAACTGAAAAGTGTGAATTTTTTATGGTATGGTATAACAAGAAATCTATTCCAAAAGTAATTTCAGTGAAATATCTTATTAAGATCTTTGCATCTTGTCAAGGGAGGCATACCTTGATGTTGGTGAGGGGCTCTTGATCCCTTGAATTGGACCTGCCCTTCACTTAGGTTGAACCTAAATTCCTCCTGGTCACCCAGGTGCTGTACAACCTATATGGGTTTAGTGCTACCCCAGTGAATGTAACAAGTGTTGATCTGTGCATGGATGGTCTGTGAAGTAATAGTGAACACTGTAATAAAAAATGCAAATACCAGGTTAAAGTTTCTCCATAGACAGGCAATGTGTACCTGCTCATGCATGGCAGACCCTATCTTTAGCTCTTATACATAGAATATTCATGGTACACTGTTATAACAAGAACTTAAAAGACAACAAATTACTGAAAATAGGATGTTGTGATTGAACCTGCTTACAATAGAACATCTTGGCAGATGAAGTAAAGCAGCTGAAACTCAACCTTGTATACAAAATTGCTAAACACTTCTTTGAATGTTTTTCTACAAATATTGTAAAGGGTAAGAACCAAATGAAGTATGATATTAAATAAATAAATATAGTTTCGTAGTAGGCTGCCTACAAAAGGTGGTTGGACCTCAAACACCTATTACACAACAATAAACTAGAATGGATTATATACCTGATAATGTAAAGGCCAGTCTTAGTATAAAACAATTTAAGAAATGGCAAAAAAATATGTTTTTATGTGATGTATTCACTTTCAGGTTGATTTTTTATTAACACCATTGAGGGTAAAGGATAAGATTGGATATACATGTATGGATGCATGCATGCATGCTTGACGGAAGGGATAAACTCAGAAGTGTCCCAGTTTAGAGATGATGTGAAGTTAATGAGGAGAATTAAATCAGATGAGGACCAGGCAGGACTACAGAAAGACCTGGACAGGCTGGAAGCTTGGTCCAGCAACTGGCTCCTCGAATTTAACCCCGCCAAATGAAAAGTCATGAAGATTGGGGAATGGCAAAGAAGACTGCAGACAGAGTATAGGCTAGATGGCCAAAGACTGCAAACCTCACTCAAGGTAACAGATCTTGGGGTGAGTATAATACCAAGCACATCTCCTGAAACACACATCAACAAGATTA